ACAGTGACATCAAACTTATCGCCGGACCAATGTCTGATACAAAAAAATACAATGAAATTAAATTACATGAAAATAGCAATAAAATTTAAAGTCAAATAAACACAGGACCTGATTCTGCAATCCTTAGTCATGTAAGTAGTCCCACTCATGGAGAATGAGGGATGCAAGACTGGGTCCTTAGCTTCTGCTTAGGAAGTCAATGTTGATTCAGACAGTATCTTTTCTAGCCAAAAATATGCAGCAAAAGGAAAGTAACATAAACAAGGCTAAATGTCAACAGTGTTTGCAGACTTACAGACACCATCCATTTGTTTGTACTGAAATGACTAGCGAACCATTTGGCAAATACAATGCTATTCACAGACCGGCCCTTTTATCCAGCAACACAAACTTCACTGGATCACTGGCATTCCCAGTTAATTAAAAAAAGGAAGCAAGCCATATGAGTTTGGTTTGATATTGCCATGCAAATGGCACTGCGACTTCCAGAAGTGGCTGCAGCCCGGCACGAGGGCAGGCACTGATCCCTGAGCACTGTGGCTCAAACCGAGAGCAGGCCCTGTGCTGTGACTGAAGCAGCCTCCTCAGGCACCACACTGGGTACAGAAAAGACTGCAGCAAAGGTTCCACGGTATTTCCTTCTGCCTTGAAGGAGAATATTCTGGTTACCCCTTCAAAGGCAGAAATGCTGGGTTACTTAACTCACCGCATTAGGGCATACTTTGAACGGTTCTGAGCACTGCGCTTTGCTGCAGCCCCGAGGACCTTCCCTGACCACAGAGCTGTCCTACAGCTCGGATATATAGGACTTTTGCTTCTTTTTGTTTAATGTGGGTTTTATAATTTTAAAGAGCTGCAATAAGGTGAAGGCACACAAACAATTAAAAATCTTTTTCTGCATGTTACGTGTTGTGGTAGTTCTGAAGGGGTTAGCATTACAATCCTTTTGGTTTTGACACCTGTGGCAAGAAGCAATTTACAAAGACTAAATTCACTATTTCAACATTGGGGTACAGCACTATAATTATGTGACAATAAAACTGTAATAATCTGCCACAGTCAATCTTCCCCTTGCCCAGCCCTCTTGTCTGTGCTACAGTTCCACATTTGGAAGGTATTTCAGAAAGTTACAATGCTGAACAATTTAATAATTCTGTGCAGAGCTGAACACTTTCTGCTCAAAAGGAAACTGAAAGTGCTCAGCCCTTCGCGGGAGAACTTGAGAGCTGCTGCCGTGCACTAGAAGGGCCCTGCCCTATTTTCATACAGTGAAAGAAGTGAGGGAGGTGGAGCCTACGTGGAGAAAACAGCACTAATTGCAGAGGAAAGCAAGCATGAATGGAAGCAAATTAGATTTAGAGGGACAAGATGGAACTAATACTTTTGGTCATCATTAAGTGTGGGTTCAATAGCACTAATCCATTAAACAACCAGCTAATGCCCCAGACCATTTCTGGCCAATAGTTCTGTAGTCCACTGGCAGTTCATTGAAAGCCTAGATACATCTCAAGCAAAAAATGCTAGGGATATTTTACCGTCTTAGCCACAAAGCAGGAAGACTGAAAGGGAAGGAGAGACAAGAAAGAATTTTGTCATAAACAGATGCTCTACAAATCATATAAATTAGCAACTTAGACCAGGAGCTGGAACATTACTGCAATACAGCTATGTGTGTAACGGAAGCCAGGCAGAGAAACAGAAGAGCAGAAATGGAAAGCATCTTCTAAATCTTAAATAGAAAGTAGATCTACAACCTCCAAGCATTACTTCTCAAATGAGCAAGAGCTGTGAAAGCAGACTATGTGGATGCTCAAGACAGCTGCCAAAGCCAGAAGCCCAGCATGACGGCTCCTTCCCTGACCTGGGCTGCTGGCTGCAAGCAGCAGTGAAAGGCACATCCCTGTTCTTACAGGCTGCATGGTAGAAAAGATTGACAAGATCAGCTCTTGGGTTTAGTCACTTAAGACTCTGGAAACAAATACAGTTAAGTTAGAAAAGGTCAGGAGACTAAAAATTCATCAATTATACTTTTTATTTTCCTTTTGTTCTTTCCTATTCTGCTAGATGTGTAAAGGAGATTTGTTGTGATTTTTCTCAGCAGTATTTTGGCATGGAAATTTCTCTATTACAAAGTGATGCTAGTTCTTTCTTTTCTAATTGTGCCTTTCACCCCTACAGCCTAAAGCATGACAGGAGCAGAAACAAATTACAGGCACATCACCAGACTCTCTTGCTCTATATACAGGGAAACTGAGGGTTGCTTCCCCATGAGGGGTGACTACTCAGAACAATAATGTGCGTTGGCGGAATTGCCCTCTAGAAATTAAACCAAGATTTGTGCTTAAAAATGGACCCATTCTCTTAAAGGTAAAATCTGCCAACTAAAAACGATCTACACAGATCACTGAAAATCCCAGCTTGTTGTAATGAAGCCAGAAATTTAGTGCAATTAACATGGCCAAACAAAGATGCAATCTCAGCCGACTGAGAATCTTATTTCAACTGTGTTCTGACTGTGGAAAGGGCACCAGAGATTGTGCAAGGAACGTTATCAAGGGTATCAGTGCTCTCTCCTGAGATGCCAACACCCACCCACCATTGGCTGTAAAAAGAAAGGCAAATACACGGAGTCCCCCAAAACACAAACAGCCACAAGAATCATGCCCCGGGACTGGGTGCTGGAAGTGGGCCTCAGGCTTCCTGATCTCTCTGAGTAGGGGAAACAAAGGGAACCACGACTCGGGTCATGGGCTTTGTGCAAGAGGGAAGGAAGGCTAATAAATTAGCAAAGCGCTCCTGCTGGCTAATCTGCAAGTGCAGAAACATCAGGTGAGATTCCCCACACTAGCATGCACAGATGGAGTGTGATTTCACAGTACAAAATGTCACTGAGAAAATGAAAACTCCCTAAAAACACTACTTTCAATAGGGTGGTGTCTAAATCAATGAAATGAATAAGAACTACTGACAGAGGGATTGTTCGTATTCATCCGTTTTTGCTGTGAGATATCAAGAAAAATGAAATGATATACTTAAATACTCAACCTTAATACTTATGTTCTGCAAAGACTCAACAGAATGTCAGTAAGAATTTTAAAAAGCTATTTTTGGAGGGGGGAGAAAAGAGGACTTGCGCTGCATTTTCCATTTTAAAATGGCTTAAAAAGTAGAACAGACAAGCTTCTGTTGGCTTTTTTTTTTCCCTTCATACTTCAAGTCAAACGCATTATCACTGGGCAGAGCTTGTGAAAGGGATATGGTCTTTAAAATCACATAAACTCTAGCCATCATAAAACGTCTGCTGAATTGATTGGAAGATGAAACAAAAAACTAATGGAAGTAACATGACCTCATTTCAATAATTCTGTGAGAGGTTTTGTTTTTGTCGTTTTAAAAATCTTGTGTCTGAGAAGAAGTATAAAGATATTTTGTATAAAGCAACTGATCTTATTTTTCCAATTTTTTTTGTTTAGTTGTTTTCTCTGATGCATTTTTGGTACCTAATTGTTTGTAATCTTCAAATACAGAGAAAAAAATTCCAAGGGTTTTACCAGCTCCTAACTGAAAGCAAGTACCAATTATGTTAAAACACCAGAAATCTAACTACTGATTTTGAAGAATCTGGAACTATTTCTAACTCTCCTCATTGGGTCTCAGTGAACAGAGACACAGGAATTTACAGTACGGACTGGCAAACACCTGCACCTGGGGTTCAGCTTAGGTAATAACAGTAGTGTGAAGGCAAAATGCTCTCTAAGAATACAAGCGAGTGAAACTTTGCTGGGAGAAATTGTACTTTTCTATCAGACCAACCAACACACTTGGAAAAGCAGGCAGAGGCACGAAGAAGCAGTGGAGTCAAACAAAGCTCCTAACAACCTGAACTTAACCAGGGTAACCACTCACAAGTGGTTGCAGGTTTAGGGTTTCATTTTGAACTGTTGAGCTTTATAACTGTTGATCACATTCTCTTTTCTTTTCTTTTTTATTTTAAACTTGAATACATTTTCTTATGCACGTTCAGGTCTAACAGTGAGTTTTTTGATTCGTTTGAAGGTTAAATGAAACAAGAACATTACTGAAGTTTTTGTGTCCTTTGCTGACTCTGCTTTTTAAAGTGATACTGTTTTTCAACGGATTTACATTCTAAAATCTCTTTCAAGCGAGCACTATGCTTACAAAACAGGAGATAAATAGGAAAGTCCTCAGTCTCACTTGTTCCAAACGGATTTAGCTTTCCTTTTTGTCAGTTTTCTATAACAAGGGTAAAAAACTGGGGGGCTTTGTTTGGTACACTGTTGTTTTAATTACTCAGAGGCATATTCTTAATTAGGCAAACCACAACTTGTACAACCTCTATTAGGACAGTGAAAATTGTCAAAGGCGACTATTGTATAGTTGCCATTGAAACAATTCAGAAAAACATAATTATTAAAAAATAAGGGAGGGGAGAGGGAGATAAAGGAAAAGAATACCTCTTCATTAAAGGTAGATGCATTCCATCCACCTGGCCTTTGATTTAATGGATATCATGGAAACTGAATGCACTCCAAGTAAAAGCACAGAGAGAGACAGAGACAGACAGAGAACGCGCAAGGCTTGCCTGGCAGAGCATCCAGTGTTTGTCTTGGGTTCTTACTTGTATCAGAATACTGAAAAGTTTGCAAGTTACCATGTGATTTTTTAAAAACCTTTTCCTCCTTTGAGTATGCTAAAGCAGTAAATATCCCCTTCAGATGCCACTAGCACAGATAGTCTATATTGCTGCTACTATGGTTTAAAAGCAAGTAGTTCTTCCTAAAATTCTGTGTAAGTATATGCATGCAGCACTGCTGATTTCAATGAAATAGACCACATATAAGACTAGAATTTGGCCCACAGGGTTTAACATTTTAAAAAAATGTATTACTAACAAACATGACTAAGTATATTTAAAGAGCAGCTTCTTGATTCTGCACAAGTGTTTTCTGAAACGGTCTAAAAGAAGGTCTAAAACTTACCACACAAGTCAGGTCTCTTGATACATCCACTAGTTGCTGTGCTACTTGCAAGTCCATTAAAGGCTGCTAAGCCATCAGAGCTGTAAGCTCTTAGGACTGACAACATGTTCATCTGCTTCTCCAGGACCTGCGGACCCTGAACTTGTTCGGGTTTCATCACTCCTTGTGCAGTTTCATGGGAGGACAGAAGATTCTGACTGTGCCACTGCTTTTCTGATGCTTGTGGCAGTGGCGATACGAGCCCTTGTGCTGGTTGTGAGGTGACTGCACTTTGTATGTTGTCGCCTCCTTCACTGCTTTCCTTGTTTAGGGCAGACAACTGCTTATTCATAATATCTGGTTCTGTTTCAATGTCCTCATCTTCAATGTTTTCCTCCTTGGAAGATTCCATATCCTCAGATGAAGCTATGTCAGAAAGGTCATCAGTAGCACTTTTATTTACAGAGTCAGAGAGCAGAATATTTGGGTCATCTTCAGACTGTGGTTTTATTTCAGATTCATTACTGGTGCAAGAATTTTGTGTTCCTGTGCCAATAACACCAGGATAAACACCAAACTGCTTATAGAAGTCTGTTGTAAAATTACAAAAAGTGGATTCCATGTGGCTGGGCCAGGCAGCACTCTTTTGCTCTCCCAGGGTCTCTTTATTTTGTCCTTGGGTCATTTTCTCAGAAGCTGAGTCCAGCTGGCTAAGCATGTTTGAAACTACGGCCTCTTTGCTGGACTGCACAGAAGCGGAGAGCAAGCTCACTTTGTTGACTGAGGCTGAAGCTTCTCTAGATTGCTCTTTGTTGTTCCCTATGATGTTGTCCTTACGTTTAGCCTTGCCCAAGTGATTGGCCTGGAGGTGCAGAGCCATTAGTTCCATAGATGAAGTGGTAAAGGAGCAAAATAAGCAGCCGTGCCATGCAATATTGTCTTGCACAGTAACAGATGAACCTGGAAGGGAGGCTGCATCTGGCCTTACGGATAAGTCAAGAGGTTCATATTGCGACTTCTCAGTTTTTCTCTGGGAGGACTTGCTATTGATCTTTTCCTCACCTCCTTCTGCACCCAGAGCTTTTGCTGAAAGTGGATCTGATAGAGCTTTATCCTTCATTTCTTTTTCTTTCTTCAAAGAACTTAGGACAAAGCTGTCCATGAAAGCTTGCAAAGACCCTTGAAAGTTCACGCCGTTCCCAACCATATTCTGGTAAGCACGGCCAAGTTCAGAGAAGTGTGTTCCTTTGGAAGATAAGTCAGAACCCTTCATGTTTTCTGAAGATACTTCAGATGACATGCCAGCTGCTTGTCCTTGCTGATCTCCAGAAGACAGCATTCCTGACGCCCACTGTTGTGAGACCATGCCACTTCGGAAATCAATACCAGGAAGCCCCTTGAAGGCTCCCCTCAGTATATCTGGTCTAATAAACACAGAACTTTTACTTGATGTCTCTTCTTTGTGTTCTTGGCTTGCAGCCTGCCCCGACAGTGGTCCCGCTCCATTTTGTCTCTCCCGATGGTGCCTCTCCAAGTGGTACTTGAGGGACGCAGACTGAGTACCAGCGTAATCACAATGCGGACACTTGTAAGGCTTCTCACCTATGTGTATGCATAAAAAGACAAGTACAAAGGAGGAGAGTTAACTGCACTTTGGTGCATGGATGAGTAAAGAAAAAGAAAATCATTATTAGCTTCCTGAAAACAAGATCTTACCGCTAATAATTCGTTTTTAAAAAAGAAACGCCTTTAATTGAAGAGTAATTCAAAAACTGAATATTTCTAAAGCAGATTTCCAGAATGTGGGGCCATTCTGGAATGACATGGTAACTACACACAATTAGCCATCTTCTTCTTAATCTAACATGTAAAAAACTGTTGTAGAATTAAAAGCTATGATTATGAAAATGAAGCATAACAATTTCAACCACAGTAATCATTAAAAGTACAATTTTTTTTTTTTTAAAAGAGACGAAGAATGTAACAAATGGATGGTTGCAATATTTTGTGTATACAATTGCTCTAAAATTTGTTTAAATTATACACATGGAAACCATTTTTAAACCTAAAAATTTTATGGCACTGTTACGCAAGACTGAAATGAATGATTTAAGTCTTGCTCTGCAGTAAATCATGGATATAATTAGCAAATGGCATACTGCACAAGTAATTTATCATTATTTGGAGGGCACCATTCCAGAAGGATTCAAAGATCTGCAGACCTACTGCATTGTTTCTAAATAAAGAACTATAAATACGGATTCTATAAAATATTAATATCATCATACCACATTATGATTGCAGCATGTAAGAACATATAGTTAAAATAAAAAGCACTCAAAATAAAAAAAAAAAGCAAAAAAGAAATAAAATACAAAATAAATTTAGTGCTAATTTCAAATATAGAAACTATCTACTGGTTTTTGCAGTCCTTTAAATTTGTACTACAGGTACTTCTAATGCTCAAGTAGTAAAATGTGTAATTTAACTATCATAACTGCTTTTCTAGGATTACTTTAAATAGAGATTTAAAACATATAAGATGATTTTCAATGAATTAAATAATGTTTGAGTCCCATATAAACTTTTATTGTTTTTCCTATACTTTCAAAGAGGTAGAAGATATTACACACACAATAAATATTCACATACAGACATAAATACATATCCAAAAAGAATGCATGCCTAAGCGAACGTACATCCAAACTTGTACGGAGCACTTGTGAGCAATGAAGAGATCCTTTAAAAGGAAGTTTGGAGATACTCACTGGAAGAGACAGAATGTGAAAGACCTGCAAGCTGCTGATACTGACAATTATTTCTACCAGGGAGTTGAACAAGAAGAAGAAATAGTTTTTTCTACGTAGCTTTTTCTCCAAAAGACAATGACCAACCTCTCCTGAATGCTGGTGGAAAAACATGCTTCAAAAGCTTTCTACACAGTAGGGGAAAAAAAAAAAAAAGAAAAAGAAAAGAAAGAAAAAAAGCTGTATGATATTCTGCAGTTTACCAAACCAGCTGGAAAGTCACCCATTTTCAAATAACCTCAAAATCTGCTTAAAACAAAATTGAAAGGCTTTCCAACTTTCTTTGTGTAAGCTGCAGGCTCAGCTGAAAGGCTGTTGGATACTTGGGAAGCTGCTCCTTGCACTGATCACAGGAACTTCCTAATGAGATGCACCACAAAACCCTCAAACTAGCCATACAGTGGCTGGTTACGTGCTGTAACTCAGACAGGGCTCAAGTGAATTATAAGGAGCAGAAATCCTAAATCCATATGTAATCCCAAAGCTAAACGGTGAGACATGAGAGCTTTACATCAACCACGTTAATCGACCTGTTTCGAGGAGGAAAGTGCAGCACCTCAAACAGGAGGTGTTGAGCTGAGGCAGAGGTAGGAATTAGCAGGGTTAGGCCTGCGTCCACACAGCTTAACGGAGGAAATCAGAATTAAACATTTCAGTGCAACTTCTGAGTTTTTCACTATCACCTTATTAAGTTCTACTGCTCCACCAAGAAGATGCACGGCTGTGTTCAGCGGGAGCCACACAAAGACAAACTCCTGATGGGCAGGAACCACTGACCTGAGACGCGTCACGTCTGCTCGGGCTTCTCTCTGCTCAGGTGAGTGTGCACACAAACTCACAGCCCCGCCACTGGGACAAGGGGCCACAAGACGTCGGCTGTCTATTTGTTTGCGTTCCTGCAGGACTGTTCGGGAGCGTGTAAACCTCGACAGCTGTGCTGCCAGTCAGAATGTGGACAAATATTAATGCTGTTTTTACAGTATGCACTAACTGCAATGTTTCTGAGCTGCTTGTTTGTCCCACCAGTTACTGCCGATTACACAACAGCCACCAGTGACCTCTGACACAGCCTAGGCACTTTGAGTACCATCTGAGAAGCAGTCAGACTGGTGAAAAACGAACAGAGGAATTTATAAGGTTAAATGCTCTCACATTTGAGTTTTCACTCCTCTTAACTGAAAAGCTCTTCCACAGCATCCCCTATGCGGAAATCTTTAACACAACTGTATTAATCACTTGCTTTTATTCTAACAATAGCTTGGTGTGTGTTGGCGTTGCACATCAAGTGACACCATTAATAAGTGTGTCCCAGTATTGCAGGTGCTACGTCAACTGCTGGATAACATGCATCTACAGCACAGAGGATTCCATAATATAAGCTGCTCTCATCACTCAATCACAGAATCGTAGGGGTTGGAAGGGACCTCTGGAGATCGTCTACTCCAACCTGCTAATGCTGCTAAAACATGCAGAAGCTGTTCAAGGCAATAGGTGCATTTAAAAATGAGTTTCAGTGAGTTAATCTAAGCTAACTAGAGGAGACACTGTGGTTCTTTTGCATATGTGAAGTAACCCCAGTCTGAAGTACTGGGCACAGCAGTGTATTCTTATTTTGCTTGCAGAGCCCTGAAGTTATTACACATTCCTTTAGAAGGCCTCTCCACTGAGTGAGCTTCCTTTCAGCAGAGGAGACCTGGGCACAGCTCGCCCAAATGCCACATGCACAAGACTGAAATAAGCCACTGACTGAGGGGGATTGATAAAAAGTGCAAGCATCTCTTCACCTTGCTTCACTGCTCCTGTGGTGCTCCCACCTCTTGCATGGCTAGAAATAAATTCTAACACTGAAGGGCTGCAATTGGACTCAACATGTAGCAACACACTGTGCCACCTTTACACCGCAGCACTGGCCAAATAACATCATTCAAAGGGAAGTACTCCAAACCTTTCTTTATTTTCTCTCTCTTTTAGATCAAAATGTTGGCAGTGATTAGTGTACTTCAAAGCAATCTTAACTGCTGCTATTTCAAGGGCAGGCACTGGCAGAAGGGAGAAGGACTGAGTAAATCATCTGTCGATCTTTGAAATTTACAGATTCACCATTTCCTAAATAGAGGAATTGTGAAGAGTACTTTGCGCTATTTCATCCACTCAGAATAACACCCAACAATGCTCATGTAAGTCACCACACAAACAACAAAACAGAGCTATAAACTGCAATGGAAAAAAAGAACAACCTAATTTAAACCAAACAAACCAATCTGGTTTTAATGGAAAACCCAAAGGACTCCTAATTTCCAATCAACAGTTGTAATTGTGTATGTCTGAAGAATAGTAAAGGGGATAAGACAGCTAAGGCACACTTCTCATCAGAAGACAACCTGTTCGTATCTTGCACTTGGGGAAAGCATTTCAGAGAACTCGTCCTATATAACGACTACCCAGATAATACTGCCAAGAGCAGTGTCTGGATGAGTTATTTAACACTTAATATCAGTTCACATAAATTAAGGTTGCCATGTAAGAGTGAGGGAACTTGACTTTTTCCAAAATAGTTTTTTGCATTTCATATCCAACAGTCATTTTTCACTGTTCGCAAAGGCAACGATCATCCTAATCTTGCTAATTTTCTGGACGTGTTTGCATCCCTGCAAACCCTTTCACAGTAGAGTAGAAAGAGTGAATATCCCAATGTGTACAATAAAAAAAGAAAGCATCTTGCTGAGAGTAACTTATCTAGGCAACATAATCACAGTTCTGATCTATCTACCACTCTGATTTTACAAGACACAAGGCATCTCACAAGAACTATTTCATATCAGGATACAATAAAACAATAAAATTCAACGCTGCTTGTAAAATCTGCACAAAATCTTGGTAGATAACTGGAAACAGACATGCTACCCAGTAGCACGAGGTCTTTCAATATAGCAGGTTGCATAAACAAAGCAGTGCTCGATCTACTACCAATCCTGCTCAAAATGCAGTCCAATAACACCAGTCATACGAATCACCTGTGCAAGGAGACCACAGTCCAATTACAAATACATTTACAGATTTTATGGCTAGAAGGGACAATATCCTGTCTTATTTGCTGTACCAAACAGGCCAAAGATCCTCACGTGAGAATTCCTGCATCAAAACCACAACTGCAATTTGACACAAACCATACTTTCTTATTTTAAATATATTTTATTCACAGCAATCAACACGTTCAACATGTCCTTATGTAAACTGTTTGATTAGTTAATTATTTTCACTGTTGCCTTATTTCCAGTTTTTATTTGTCCCAAGTCTGTTTCCTATACCGAACCTCACAGCATCTTTTCCCTGCGACACTAAATGATTTGTTTTTTTTGAATCAAAGATCTGTTCCCTGAGAAAGGTACTCACCCTCATCTCACCAACTTCTCTTGCTCCTGAGTGGAATACCCTTTCCAATTATCAAATGTCCTTTTCAATTATAGGTACCCACTAAAGCTTTGATGAAGTTTCAACCAGATATTATTCTTATACAAACACTGTTTACATCCATAGCTATAGCAATCAGCTAACAGCTCACATTCTGTTGCTTCTCTACCGTAATCCCAGACCCAGTTCATCAACAGCTCTAGCATTTGTTCCTCTACATTTTGCTGTTTTAAAATTCATATCGTTGAGAAGAACCCACTCGACTAAGCAACCCATCAGTCCCTCCCCGTGATTTTCAGTATTTTACCATTTTCGTGCCATTGGTAAATTTTATCAACAGTGATTTTATACGCTTTTCCAAATTATGATGAAATGCCAAACTGA